AATTCTTTATGCATTCATTTCTTTCTTTCCTTCCTTCCTTCCACCCTTTCTTTCTTCATTTATTCTTTCCTTTCTTCCTTTCTGTCCTTTCTCCGAGGCCCGTTTGGTACGGCTCTGTCCGGGTCTGCACTTCAAAGGGTTCTTGAGAAGGCCTCCCGCAACTCATGAGGTTTAGGGTTTTGGAGGGGGGGGATTATGCAAAGTAGTATGTGGTCGGGTTCCTACCATTCTTTCCTTGGGAACCTTCACCTTGAGAAACTCCGGGAAAGAAGCGTGCCTTCTGCCGGCAAAAGCAATGTGCCAGCTTCGTCACGTACCCCGAGCTGCTCTTCCATTGTCTGTCATTTTCTGCCTCAGGGCCCTAAACCCTAAACCCTAAACCCTCAACCCTAAACCCTAAACCCTCAATGAAGGGCCATCCCTCCTAGCGGAGCAGGGGCGACTGTCCGGTGCATGTTCGAGAGCTGCAGCGACGGGCGTCAAGCCGATTGCAAGAGTATTGCATTTCACAGCACAAGGTGGGCAACGCAAATCAGGTCTGGAACTCTGAGTAGAAGGGTGCCCATATCGACAGATTCGGCCGAGTTTGTGGTCTGTTTGGTCAACTGGCTCGTGCAAGAGGAGAGGCAAGCAGCACCTGACATCTCGCGATTCCACTCAGACCCTCGCCTTTTGCGACATCTTTCGAGGGGCATCCATGCAGATCAGAGATCTCCGCTCGAATCGACTTGATCGAACTTCTGCATGTGTCTAAGGTGGAACTAAAAAAAACGCTTTAGGTCTGAGGGCTCAGGGCCGCAAACCAAACCTGACAGAACCTGGCTTAGCCCTGGAAGCCCCATGAACCCTACCCAGCTTGTCAGTTCTCTCAATTACTGTCCCTTTTCGGGCAACCTGACTTATAAGGGCCCGGGAAGAACAACACACGCAGGTACCCAGAATGGGACTCGAATTTCGGAAGCCACAAACTACATTGGTGCTTGAAGACCCAGGTTGTCGAGGTCCGGCTGGCTCTGGCACTGTGCTCGACATCGCCCTCAGTCGTCGCAAGTGCCGGCTCTGTAGGACAAAGTTAAAGAGCAACGAAATGATAGGGATTACACGACCGGGTACTCAAGTTCAGTGAGGTGGGGGGGGTGGAGAAAAGGTTCCTCGGCATGAGCTTGCTTTGCAAGGGACACGCAAGAGACCCCAAGATGATTTCACGGAGGTTTTTTCTGTTGCAATCAACCTTCAGCCGCCACCATAAACCCTTTTTGGCTTCAGCCATCATAAACCCTATGAAACCCTATAAACCCTGACATTTTCTATTCGGGATTCCACGTAACCATAGTAGTGTTTCAAAGGGTTTAGGGGTTAGGGTTCCGGTTCCCCTCGACACCCGCTCCCTTCCCCAACTATCATGATAGAACCTCCCTCAAAGGCCAGGGGCCCATACATTTTCGGACGCCAATGGAGCCAAAATGGAAGGAGTGCTGTACAGAGGCATCTTTACAACCCCGATGGATGTACAACACTGTGCTTCTTTACAGTTTAGGGTTCAGGGTGTTGCAGGTTTTTTTTACCCAAATCAGGCACACTAAGCACAAGAGAGAATTGCAGCAGAGCTGATAGTAAAAACCCCCTCAACACAGTCCAAACGAACCATCCCTTGATCACGGCCCACTGTGAACTTCGAGTTTCGGACTCAAAGGAAGCTCAATATTCAAGGCGCTATAGGGGCCTCAATAATTAGAAAGGGGTTGGGGGGGGGGGGGGGGGGGGTGTGATCGTATACTTCTCATAAGGGACCATAAGGGAACACTCTTAGTAGTTATTCCGACCCCTATATTCAAAACGTGCTTAGGACGAGCGATTCCTTGCGCAGGTTTAGGGTTTAGGGTTTAGGGTTCAGGGTTTAGGTTTAGGGTTTGGGGTTCAGGTAGGGCCAGGCACTTCTCTTTGTCGGACTCCTCGCAGTCCACCTCCGGCATCGCCTTCCTCACCTGGAACAAGTTCAGGAGCTCAAGGTTTAGGGTTTAGGGTTTAGGGTTTAGGGTTTAGGGGTGTAGTGAGGTTCCATCCTGGGCTTACTATTATATAATTATATATACTACCCTCCTCTACACTACCACTTCTAGGTTCCCCCCTTGAATAACCGCAACTAGGCTTTGATTGCCCCTAAATAGCCTGACAGAGGGGGGTAGTAGGGGGGAACCCATGAGCTCAAGGCTTAGGGTTGAGGGCCCATGCTTCCTGGGCTCCGGACAGTAACAACCCTAAACCCTAAACCCTAAACCCTAAAACCCCTACACAGGTTTGGGCTTTCTTGTGCCACCCATCTGGCGTTGCTCCGCGGGGCTGGGGGTTCGGGCTGAGGGCTTGCCGGACAGTCTGGACGTCCAGACTGGTTTAGGGTTTAGGGTTTAAGGTTTAGGGTCTAGGACACGATGTAGGGCTTTAGGGTTCAGGTTTCTTTTTGGTCTTAGGGTTTTCTTTTCCCGCCCGCCATGCAGGCCAGCCACACTGCAGGGTAACACTTCGGAACAACAAAAGATCGATTGAAACGGCGACTTGTTTAGGGTTTAGGGTTTAGGGTTTAGGGTGTTTCATGCACATAACGGCAAGGGCATTTTCACAAGACCCTGACTCAACCGCATTAGCTAGTTGCAGTTAGTTGGGGTCCAGTGATGTCCAGGACGTTTCGCACCTGGCCTGAAAAGCCATAGAGTACTGTACCTCTACACGACTGCTGCGAGACTAAAAATCCGGCTCTCACATCACTACATTTGCGATATTACAAAGTTTCAACACAGGGCTGGCGTCAAAGAGATGAGCTGTTCTGGATGTCTCTTGGTCTAGTGACGCAACTTGTCACGCGAGAATTCTGTAACATGAGCGGAAGATACCGACCGGCACCGCCAATACTTGCGCACACATCGAGGGGAGGGTTTCGGGCTTATAGGGTTCAGGCGTAAGACTGAGAACCCTGGACCCCCATTTCTCATGCTCTGAGAGCCCTTAAGGCACCCTCTGCGACCGGATGCACATCATGTTTTTCCAAATTCGCTGAGGTTCATGATGTAGGTTACCCTAAACCCTAAACCCTAAACCCTAAACATTGATGCAAGACATAGTTCTCAGAAGTATGGTCCCTTCTTGGGTACCCGAAAACTTCGGGGCCGCCTTATAATAGTAACCCCAAAAGGGACGTTTAGGGTTTAGGGTTTAGGGGACTATCATATAGAGAAGTGCTCATGTAAGTCGGAACCGCCAAAAAGGAAACATGGCCAGGTTGCCAAAGCCCGGAGGTAGGGACTCTTCACGGCAAGCCTGCGAGCTCCAGTTGAGAGGGGGATGAGCTTGATTGGAAGGGTTGTAGGGTTTTAGAGTTGTAGGATTTAGGGTTTTAGGATTAAGGTTTTAGGGTTTTGGGTAATTCGTGCGTTCACTCCCCCCCCCCCCGCCCCGCCGTCTGTCGAAGCTTGTTCTTGCTCTCTTTAAACGGTCCAAGGGTTATATATGATTTTGCTAGGGAGGAGTTGATATGAGTTTAAAAGGGACAGGGAGGCCCGGCAATTGATTTTAAAGGCGCGCCGCGCGAAATTATCTTACATCACCGGGACGTCTTGACTACATAGAGGATGCCACAAAGCCTGGCAAAGTTGACTTTGAAGAGCGGGCCCCCCACCAGAGCAGGTGCAACATTAAGGTAGTAAGGTCGAAACCTGTTTAGGATGTCCGCGACCGACCTCTGGATCTTTCTTGGCACGGGGCCTTCAATCTACCCTAAACCCTAAACCCTAAACCCTAAACCCTAAACCCTAAACCCTAAGCCCTAAACCTACAGGGGCAGATCTTTCTGGGGCAGGATGTCTGTTACAATTCTCCGCACACTTCTACAAGACGTCGGATACCAGCACGTGACCTAGTCTGAAGGGTTTAGGGTTTAGGGTTGGGGTTTGGGGTTTAGGGTTTTCAGGGCTTCATGAACTAGCCGGATCTTGCTGGGATGTCCACGCCCCCCAAGAGGTTGCAAGGATGGCCACGGGTTTGGGCAGAATGAGGTCGGTGTAATCCCTGCGCAGAGGAGAATCCAACGACCTACTTACTAGAGCGTACTAGCGTGCTAGCCTATAGCAAAGCCACGTGGGGCTCTAGTTACCTACAGTTTAGTAGTAGCTACCCCTTAAAGAGTAGGTAGAACCCATAAAACAGTAGGTAAAAAGGGCCCCAGGAAACCTGACATCCCTTCGTCTTCGTGCGCTTCTCCGATGCTGATTGCCTTGTCCTGGCCCTCGCACGACAGACAGACAACCCGCCTACCCCCCTCACCCGAAACCCTAAACCCTACTCCCTAATTAAACCCACACCCTAAACCCCTAAAAAAACCCTGAGCCGCAAAAGAAACCCTGCTAACAGTGCTCTGGACGACTTGGCCTCCTCAAGGCTTCCCTTTTGTCGTCCTCACTCAGATCCGAGTCCATCACCTTAGAGGGTTCAGGGTTCATAGGGTTTAGAGTTTAGAGTGTTATAGGGTTTATAGGGTGTTTAGGGTTTATAGGGTGTTTAGGGTTTATGGGGTTTATAGGGTTTGTAGGGTTTATAGGGTTTATAGGGTTGGGGTCTATAGCGTTTAAGGAGCTTGGCGTTTGCAGGGCTTGGGGTTGCAAGGTGGCGGGATTATGCTCCTAAACCCTAACCCTAAACCCTAAACCCTAAACCCTAAACCCTAAACCCTAAACCCAGTAAGTCTAAAGGCTGTCGACTCGGCCACAAGGTCACACGTAGGGATGCCAGGGGAAGCTGAGCCAGGAAGTGCGAGGACAGGGGGTTTAGGGTTTAGGGTTTAGGGTTTAGGGCTGAGCGGCCTATTCAAGTGATGGGCATCTTGAGGGGAGTTCCTGCTGTCAGCATACAGGAATTGAAAATCTGCGTCGTTTTTTTCTGTTTTTAATCGCGAAACGGGCTTTATCAGGAGATCATAGCTGCTAAGTTGCGGAATGACTTAGTTACCTGCATTACAGGGCCTCAGGTGTGGAACCTAAGCCCTCCAAAAAGGGAAATGAGGGCCTACCCTAAACCTTAAACCGTATGCCTATAAACTGTTCTTGGCTACGATCGGCTGCCGCGATCGAGGGCCAGAACGTTGGAGGCATTTGGGCACAGGGGTTGCTCATGTTTTGCCATTTTCTGGAAGCAAGTTCCAGTCTTCAACTAGCTGAAAATCTTCCTCAAAAAGACCCCTGAAGCCCAAGCAGAGAAGAAATGTACGTCTACATACATATATATATATCTATATATATATATATGTCTATATATATATATGTCATATATATATATGTCTTTGTATTTGTATCCCGGACAGTTGAAGCCACGGCTTGCGCCGAGGCGCTTGATTCACGGACTTCTTGTAGCCTGGCAGGGCTGCAGCGATGGGAACATGTGCCTTCAGACCGAAGTCGCCAAACCCTCAACCCTATGGTTATACCACACTTCCCAATCCAAACAAAAAGGCGCAGCTCGAGATATATATATATATATATATATATATTCAGTCTCATTTATATGGTTCTTAATAGAATGGTTTCGGGCGTAGGAGTTTTGGATTTTTGGATTGTTTAGACCCTAAGCTGGCTTTGCAACAGGCTCGTCACTTCACCCCGGAACCCTGCACTCTCTAAACGGCCCAAACCCTGCAACTAAACCCTAAACCTTGGGATGTCCCCCCGTAAACGAACAGTCCTTAATGGGGAAGATAATAAGTGGTATAAGCCCTATTAAGGGCTGCTAGTATAAGGGGGTAACATCCCAACCTAAACCCTCAGCCCCAAGCCAGGGGCCTGAGCGAACCCCCTTTGGAGGCCGGTGCGCGCTGTTCGGGTCTGTCTCATGCGACTCGTTGTGGCAAAAGGTACCTGCAGTTAGGGTTTAGGGTTTAGGGCTAGCATCTGGGATTCTGAGGGATGAGCTTCGGGTTGAGGCATAGGCTTTCAGAGCCTTCCACCGGGAACCGGCGTTTTGAGAATCAAGGACCGATCCTTTGCACTGAAACCTCAACCCTTGTGTTGTTTAGCTGGGAGCCTCGTGCTCTAGAAGTTGAGGATACGTTTCCTAAGCCGGCCCCAAGAGTCGGCTTAATTAAGGGGCTCGAAAAGGGAACCCCCTAAACCCTAAACCCTAAACCCTAAACCCTAAACCCTAAACCCTAAACCCTAAAACCTAAACCCTAACTAAACCCCAAACCCTCAAGGGAACAAGGAGCTCTGAGTCCTAGGTGGGTACTTACCCAATCCAGGCCATGGGCTTGGGCGAATGTTAGTTCGGTTTGGACTCCATAGTGGCTAAAGGCCTATTGTACCTAAACCCTAAACCCTAAAACCCTAAAACCCTAAAACCCTAAAACCCTAAAACCCTAAAACCCTAAAACCCTAAAACCCTAAAACCCTAAAACCCTAAACCCTAAACCCTAAACCCGAAAAATGCTTGGACCCTTTTCCGATTCGTATCACAGGTATATGTAGGTCGTCAAGAGACGATGAGTGCATAGGCTTGAACCTCAGGTTTCGGGCCTTGGGATTTTCAGGGTTTAGGACATACAAGGACTCCGACGCAACTCCTTTTTGTCCATGCCCCCCCCACCCCCCCCTGCATTTTCAGGTACTTCGACCTGACAACCCAGGAGCCATGAACCGAAACCCTAAACCACAAAGCCAGCTTCAAGTAGGGTTCAGAGCTTGTGAAGGGTTGCGTGAGGCCATAACTTCGGCAAGCTGCACTCCGCGCCATTCCGGCAGCCATCCGGGAGGGAGACGAATCTGCACGGCTGACACCTGACCGGTTTAGAGTTTAGACTTTAGGGTTTAGGGGTTATGACCGTGTGGTCTTATTGGGATAGAGTTTGCTAGGGTGTTTTTGGGCTTCTAGGGTTTACAGGGCTTTGGAGTTTCTAGGGTGCTTTAGGGGTTTGGGGTATTTTGTTGTCTACGTTTATAGGGCTTTTAAGGGCAGCTTGGGGGCTTGTGAAGCCCTAATCCCCATACCTCAAAGACCCTAGTTTTATCACCTAAAGCAGGGTGGATTAGAGTCGAGGCTTCAGGATTCGGGTTTAGGAGTCCTCAATTGAAACTGGAAGCTAAACCAAGCTTCTAACGCTGGGAGGGAAGAAAGGGAAGAAAGGGAATCCTTGTGTGTTGAGTGGGTTGAAAAGAAAGTCGAAGTAACACCCCGGCCCCCGACTCCCCCAAAAAGAGGAAACACAGCTGCTGCTGGGAACCACTTGGATAAGCAACTTAACCCGCAAGCCAATCTCCCAACTTTAACCAACCCCCCCCCCCCCCCCCCCCGCAACAGCCGCAACCGTGCCCAGCAAAGGCGTTGTTTGATCTTCGGGATTTTCTTGCCTTCCGCCCAGCTGAACTGAAGTCCACATTGCAGGGTCGATGGCTGGCTTGATTAGGATAACTAAGGGTTTAGAGTTTCGGGTTTCCTCCAACGCTGAACCCTAAACCATAAACCCTAAACCCCCTGTTGAGGCTGAGGACAGCTTCTCGAAACGTGCCAAGCACCCTGGCGAACTCGGGCTGTTTAGCACTTCGGGCAGCTCTCTGTGCTAGGGTCGGTCCTTCGGGTCACTGTTGTAAACCGGCGCCTTACTCAAATTTAGGGTAACTCTGCGATTGTGAAAGACCTTGTCATTGTAGGAGTTTAGGGTGCAAAGTTTAGGCCTGCTAAGGATTTCGGGCTAAACCCTAAACCCTAAACCCTGAACCCTGAACCCTAAACCCTAAACCCTAAACCCTAAACCCTAAAACAAGGCTTTTTAGGCTTCGCGTGTGGTGCCTGCCCTCGTCATGAAAGACGGATCCAACGGACGCGAACACCTTCCCGGATCGAGCTTCCCTCGGCCGGTATGGGGGGGTTTAGGGTTTAGGGTTTCGGGTTTCGGGTTTAGGGTTTATGGGACACCAAACTTCTTCCATTTAGGGTTTGGGGTTTCGGGTTTAGGGTAGGGAGCATAGGGTTTAGGGTGTAGGGTTTAGGAGTTTTTGCCACCTGTCTAGCATCCTCGCAAGAAAGGCAGAACGTCCATCGTGAGCGTGACGAAGAGCTGGAGAAAGGGAAAAGACGTACTGTTCTCTCATGTCTGGAATTTATTCGGGTTTTGTGAGGATTCACTAGAACCCTTAGAACCCAAAACCTAAGAAACCCTAAACCCTAAACCCTAAACGCCAAACCCTAAACCCTAAACTCTAAACCCTAAACCCTAAACCCTGGTGCTAGTCCAAGCGTCGGGTGTGTCGGCTGGTGTGTTCGCAAAGATGTCGGGGCTGGCATGCTGCTCGGTGTGCCTGCATCTTGACCCTAAACCCTAAACCCTAATCCCTAAACCCTGAACCCTGAACCCTAAACCCTAAACCCTAGAGGCGCCCCTTCTTGGGGATTTTAGGACGGGATTCTGACTGTTTGGGGTCGACATGAATGGGTCCTTCATTTGCGTAAAGCCTTCAAGATATTTTACTGCAAGAGGTTCCAAACCCTGCTGCTCCAGAGGAAAGCCCTTAGATTCGGCGACCTAAGGATAGGATGGAACTGGAGCTTTCCGAAACTTGGGTTTTAGGGTTTAGGGTTTAGGGAGAATGCGGAGTATTTTGGGGTATATGAAGAGGGCCCCCCTGCTTTGGGGCATGCCCGACTTTCTCATGACCACAGCAATGTCGCACAGTGCGCCTTGTCGCATTCTGTGCGGGCTTCCTTTGTGCGAACTTCCCCTTTGGGGGCTGCCTGTGCCAAGAGAGATTCTGGAGTTGGACTTGAATGGGCTTTTGGGGGGTTTTAGGGTTTCGGGTTTAGAGTTTGCTAGGGCCTCTGCCACAGAGATTCTGGGTTTGGGTTTGAATGGGCGTTGCTGGGCTTTGGGCTGGAGAGGCGTTCGGGATTCAGAGTTGGGTTTCGGAGTTGTGTCTTTCGTTTAGGGTTTAGGGTTTAGGGTTTAGGGTTTGGGGTTTAGGGTTTGGGGTTTAGGGTTTGGGGTTTAGGGCTTCGGAGTTCAGTCTGTGGGATAGAGGCATCGGCTGCAGGAACATCGGGTCTGCGGTCACGAATCCTGACATCATGGGAATGGCCATGCCCAACACAAGGGCAGTCGACCGGACCCCTTGAACTAAACGCTTGGGAATCTACAGAGAATGTACAATCCCAAAATGGCACAAAGACCCTGAATGAACCTTCCCTTGCGTCCAGGCCATGTCCACGTAGGGTCATTCGCAAGGGTTCGGGGTGGAGGGGCCCATGCTATTCATGCAACCTCCCGCCAGTCAGGGTCACGACGCCCACCCTCATACCAACTAACACTGGTTTAGGGTTTAGGGTTTAGTTAGGAGCTAGGGCACGCCACCCACCCAGCAGGCCGAGCTTTCCCGGGCACTTCGCGATAGGGGCCGACTCAAGAAGAACGAGAGCTTTGGGCTACTTGTAGCTTCATCATTAAAATATATTAAGGGGACAACACTGGCAATTATGTTGGCTCAGAACCCCCTCCTTATGATCCCGTCCTTAATAGGGATTCTCGTGCCCCCCTTCTTATAATGCCTATTTCGGACTGTTATTTTGGATGGCCCTTTCCACCCTCTGAAAAATATTCCTATATATAGCCCTCTTAAACCCAGTAAGGGAAAATATGAAATATCCCAAAGGCCTACCGAGACTAGTATCTAGGAACCTTCCAGTATTGCTATCAAGGGGGGAACATCCCAACCCATACCCGTGCGGTCCTTTCAGCTTTTCATCGGAGGGTGGATCGGTGGAGCTGGAATTCCGCGCTTTCACGGAACCTCATCGGCAGCAGCATGCTTCAGGGTTTAGGGGGTTTAGGGTTTAGGGTTTAGGGTTTAGGGTTTAGGGTTTAGGGTTTAGGGTTTAGGGTTTAGGGTTTAGGGTTTCAGCATGCTTCAGGCCCCTCCGAGTCGAAACTATAAGTGGGAGTTTACGATGTTCGGGGTAAATCGTACCTTATTGGGGGTCCTTATTCGAAGGGGATCCCCCTAAAACCCTAAAACCCTAAACCCTAAACCCTAAACCCTAAACCCCTAAACCCCTAAACCCCTAAACTCCTAAACCCCTAAACCCCTAAACCCCTAAATTTAAGGGCTCCTTACTTCCGTAAGCTCCCAAGCTGCTCTCCAAGAAACCAAGGGATGAACTTCGCCTTCCCTAGTCGACCCCAGTACATCTGCAGTAGTCGTAATGAGGGGCCGGGGAGATGCGCCCTAAACCCTAAACCCTAAACCCTGAACAAAAAACTCTAAACCCTAAACCCTAAACCCTAAACCCTAAACAAAAAAACTCTGAACAAAGGATCCCGGATTTTCGGAAACCCCAGCATCCTACTTTGCTGCGCTCCTCAGGCCCAAGCCCGTTTTTTTTTGAAACCTGAACCCCAGAACCCCCAAGGCCGAACCTGCGTACTGTTGCGTGCTCCATGCGTGTAGCCGAGCCGCTGTAGGACTCCGAATAGTCATTTGTAAAAGAATCACCTCAGGCCATGCACGTGGGCTTAGGGCCTTTTAGGGTTTAGGGTTTAGGGTTTAGGGCTTAGAGTTTAGGGTTTAGGGCACAGGTCTAGCGAGAAAGGGGGGCGAGGTGAGCTAGAACCTTGGGAAGCAAGGGATCGCCTGTTTTTTAGGGTTTAGGGTTTAGGGTTCAGGGTTCAGGGTTTAGGTTCAGGGTACTTAGCAACCCAGAAAAAGAGTAGTTAGAGCCCACATGTAAGCCCCTTAAGTATGCTAAAAGGGTTACAATTGGGTGATTAAGTGCAATTGTAATTGGGCTACTAGGTACCATGAACCTCCAAGTAGGGGTTTAAGGCAAGCTCAGGGCTGGGCCACTACGATGCACATCGCTTCACTTCCGACATTCACTTCAATAGTTGAGAGCAGGATGACAGCTAGCAGATTGAACGCTGCACTCTCAGGGACTGTGGGTGGTGGTGGGGGGGGCGGGGGGGTGGTAGTAAGGTCTCCGCTCGAGTGTGAGATAAGGTTTCTTTTTCTTCGGGTTGTTGCTCATATCCCAAGAAAGGATGCCGTGCATACGCTCACCGATAATATGGGCAAGGAACCCTACAAGCACACTTTCCAAAACCTTCGCATCCTACTTCGTGTAACCTGTGGTCAATCCCTGAGCAGAACTCGGCAGCCCTGTTTGGTGGCGTCCTTCCTCCAGTGCTTCCAGTGCTGCCACGTCGCTGTCCCCGTTCCTTGGTTTATTTTGGGGGTTACCCTAAACCCTCTCTCCTAAATCCTAAACCCTAAAACCTAAGCTTACAACTCAATGATGATTGCAGTTTCGCCCAAGTACAAGCCCAAGCACCGCCCATACGGCAATAGTTGGTTTACAAAGTTAGAACTTGGAACCCTACGTACAAATTGAATTAGCTTACATGTACCATTCTCCACAGCAGTAGACGCCACGGGTCTGTATTTGCCTGTATGGACACATGCTCGCTCCTTGGACGCTTGCTCACCTCTAAAGCCCAATGAGGCCCTTGATGTCAAAAGCCCCCGCCCTAATCTGAAATATGCCCAGCATGGTCGCTTTACAGCACACGCATATGGGAATATTACCCTGAAGCCTAAACCCTAATCATCTACATTAGGGGGTCAGGGGTTCTAAATTAGCGGAGGGGGATGAAGAGATCAATTCAACGATTGAAGCGACTGAAAGTTTCAGGGTTTAGGGTTCAGGGTATCGACTCTCGCGCTCGCACGCAGCAGGCAAGGAGTCAAGCGGACGTCGGGGGTTTAGGGTTTAAAGGTTACAACTTAAACTACCCATAATTTATCTCACGGCTGCGCCCAAGCAAAGCGAGTGAGACAGTGTGGCAGACAAAAGAAGCTGGAATATTTTCTTGTGACTGGAGCTCTATGCATGTCTTCAGAGTCAGAGGGCTCGGGGCTTGGGACACAATGCAACCTCCCTGAAGCTAATCCCTAAACCCTAGACCCTAAACCCTAAACTCCCTCTGCTTCTTGACAGGGCGCGGGGAGTTGAGAATGAAATGGTTGCAGGTTGCCTGGTCTTCCTGCCGCGGAGCCCGTCTGGCCATCTTTTCCTCGGAAGCGTTTAGGCGACTTTTACGAGCCCCCAGGTGTGCCCAATCAACAAGAACCGGGGGGGGGTTAGGGTTTTAGGGGTTTTTAGGGGTTTTTAGGAGGGGTTTTAGGGGTTTTAGGGGGTTTTAGGGGTTTTAGGGGGTTTTAGGGGTGTTAGGGGTTTTAGGGGTTTGCTGACGTTGGGCTGTGTTTTGCCTGTACACTGCGACGATCGAAGATCTGCGAGGGATCGTGGAGAACTTGCTGCATCGGGGGCCAGCTCGGACGTGAACATTGCCCTAACCGGTTTAGGGTTTGGGGTTTGGGGTTTAGGGTTTAGGCCCGAGTTGCTGAGTACCCTGGGCCAAGAAAGGTTAACCTTTCAGCCAAGGTAGGAGTATACCCCAAAAGGTTAAGGTTACTATACGAAGCTACTAAGAACCCTTTTTTGAAGCTAGAGCCCAAACCCTAAGCCCACCTCGCTCTGTGTGCTTGTTCTGACCATCTTAGAGCAAGCGATTAGGACTCCACAGCTCTTGCCCTGCGTCTTTTTACTTGTACATAACACTTAAACCTCCCGGAAAAATCTTCCCAACTATGGTCCTCCTAAACCCAGTAAAGGAAAATATAGGACATTTCAAGGGCTTACCTACACCATCTGCATCATTGGATCCTCAGCCAGAAACTTCTGGAAAAAAGCGCGACGGGGGTCATTGTAATTAGGTGACATCCTTGCTCCCTAAACCCTAAACCCTAAACCCTAAACCCTAAACCCTAAACCCTAAACCCTAAAGCTCCCTACAGCGACTTCTTTGTAGGCCCGGGGCATGAACACTGCTAGGGAGCTGGGGGCTAGCGTGGTCATCTTGCGCCAAGATGAAGCAGCGCCATCGCTATAGTAACCTAATATGATACTCGTTTAATTTAAGTAATGACAACAATAATGGAACAATATACTAGTTATACAGCCATACTCTATAAACAATACTAGAAAACACATAGTAATACTAATAGTAGCAATAAGAAACTACTAATACCAGTAACAAGAAAACCATTGTAATAAAAACAACAATAAAAAATCATACTAACAAAGATAACAATAAGAATCAGAATAATATTAATACGAGTAATGCTAGCAATACTAGTAATACTCATGCTAGCAATATTATGTAAGCTTAACAAGGCAGAAAGCTCCGTGTCGGCCTACGCAATTGTGGTGTTGGGGCCCCAAGCAGCGAGCATTCTGCAGATGAGAGGCCCAGCCCTCCAACACTTCCCGTGCCAGGCCGGAACTCTCCTTAAGAGGGGCGGAAGGTTTAGGGTTTGGGGTTTAGGGTTTGGGGTTTAGGGGGCTGCATGCCCTTCAGGATCTAGTTTTAGGGCCCAGTGACCATCTTACAACAAGGTTTTTTTTTTTTTTTTTGGGGGGGGGGGGGGGGGGGGCGGCGGGTTGGCTACTTGAGAAGGGAACCTTGAACCAAAAAAAGGGGAAAAGGGACCACTGGGCTACCGAGTCTTTCTTGGGTGTTTTGGTTCTGGTCAGTTTGTGGTCTCAAAAGGCTTCCAGGGTTCACAATTCAGGTCTTGGGGTTGGTGTTGGCGTTGAACCCTAAACCCTACACGCTAAACCCTAAACCCTAAACTGTGCATCGTTGACTGCCGCCGCCTTCTTTCTCTTTCTCTCCCTCTCTTCCTCCTTTTCTGAGCCTTCAACCCAGAAGCTTCAAAACCTGACAGAAACAGGGTAGTACAACTCATGCACTGCTTTCTGTTGTATGTTGCTGCATGCTGTTATACGCTATTAGATATCACATGATATAGTGAAGACCTACCTTCTCCTAGACCAAACATGAAAGCCGCCGAGCCCAAACGAACCACGCTCAAACCCGACCGTCTTCGAACAACTCCACCAAAAGCCCTCTTGTAGCGGCATCCCCGAATCAGTTCCTTGCTGATCCGCTTTCACAGTCGAAAGTCCTGAGCCCCAAACCCTTGTCCTGAAATTGGACTTGATGACCCTAACCCTAAACCCTAAACCCTAGACCCTAAACCCAAAAGCCTCTAAACATCCCTAAACCCTGAACACTACGACTCACCCCTGAAGGCTCCCTATCCGCAACTTTCAGAGCAGCTGCTGAGTCGTTGAGGTCAGAATCGCCATCGCTATGACTGGGGTCAGAACCGCTCCAACCTTAGGTCGGGTTTAGGGTTTAGGGTTTCGGGTTTAGGGTTTAGGCTTTAGGCTTTCGGGTAGATTCAAGGGCTGATGGCGGGCGCTTTGTGCAGAGCAGCGGAGTTTTGAGGCTTGATCACGCACGTCGTGTCTATGGGTTTGGAGTTAGGGCTTGAGGGTTTCGACAGGCAAGGATTCTCCCTAAACCGTAAACCGTAAACCGTAAACCCTAAGCCCTAAACCCTAAACCGTAAACCCTAAACCCTAAACCCTAAACCCTAAACCCTAAGCCCTGAACCCTAAACGTCCGGGTTCGTCGGTTGAAGGGTTCAGGGGGTCGAGTCTGAGGGTTGCTCTCGCACGAGTATCTGAGGTTCCACTGCCAATAGACCACAAGAACCATGCAAGGGGCCTTACGATCCTTCCTGAACCCTAAACCCTAAATTAAATCCTAAACTCCTAAACCCTTTTTGCCACTGGTCTGAAGGCAAGCCAGACTCCATGCACCGCCGAGCGCTTTCAAGTAACCGCCAAGCGCTGGACACGCAACAGCCACTCGCTCGAAACACTATGCCGGAACCAGTGTGTAACAGGGGAAGCTGAACACTGAACACAACCGAACCATGCATGTCGGCAGTAACTCACGTTATGGACTCTAAACCCTAAACCCTAAACCGTAAACCCTAAACCCTAAACCCTAAAGGCAAGGCCTCTCGCACCCTTAATCCTGAAGCCCTGAAGCCCCAAAAACCCAACTCCTAACCGCAAGAAACGCCCTGTTGAACCCAGACCCAGAGCCGCACCCGAAGGAAGCCCCAAACCCTAAACCCCCCAAAACCCTAAACCCCCCAAAACCCTAAACCCTAAACCCTAAACCCCCAACCCCCCAACCCTAAACCCTGACAAGGTTGCCAGGGAGCTTTTGCTCTTCTTCAGCCCTGACTTCTTCTCGCCTTGGTTTAGGTTTTAGGGTTTAGGTTTAGGGTTTAGGGTTTAGGGTTTAGGGTTTAGGGTTCGGTGAAGGTTAAGGCTTTTGCCATCCGCTAAGCTGATCTCTCGGACACCCCGCAGAGACGCAACTATGACAAGCTTCCCACTTCAGGGCCCAGGGTTGTTTAGGGTTTAGGGTTTAGGGTTTAGGCGGGTTCCCTGGGCTGAGGGTATACTGGCAACGGCCAAATGGTGGTGTCCAAGGGGCAGGTACTCTAGGAATCTTGAAGACAAGGACGTGTTCTTGGGAATCCCCCCCGTGTGAAACCCCTTTTTTTACGGCTAGGACTGCTGCACTGCCTGCCTGTGACGAACTCTCTGCATCCACGAAGTGAAACCCTAAACCCTAAACCCTTGGTGTGGGGGCTTTGGGATTCAGGAGCTGAGGGGGGCCGACGTCGACTCGAAACGCAATTCTTCAGCTTTTTAGGAGAACTCAAGGTGGACTCTTGGCATTCTTCTGTGGAGTACACCACACCACCCTCGACTAGGGTTTAGGGTTTAGGGTTCAGGCTACAGGGTTCAGGGTTTAGGGTACCAAGAACACCTTCTGGACTACTTCTGGTCCCGGGAGTAAAACAAAAAACGGCTGACGACAAGGGTCAGGACCAGGTTGATGGTTCACCCTCTGCGATACTATGAGTTCGGATGATCAGGTCCAGCATGAATTTTACAAGGTCTGCGGTCTTGCTGTACCCCAAAACCAAACCATTCACGGCAGTAGGAAGTCCAGATGCCCCCTGGCGAAATAACCGACTGCCATTGGAATCAGTTGCTGGCCGCTTGTTGGGTGTAGGAGCTTAAGGAAGGCGAGCTGAAAAGGAAGGAGCCCTTCCCTTGGCGTTTCGATTCAGTCCAGGGTATCGGGCCTGAAGCAAGCGTCCTTTGCATCCTCGGCAACCCTAAACCCTTTTTGCACAAGCCCTTCTTTCAACCCAGGCACCCTAGGGGGAATGTTATCGTATTCTTGCAAAGGGAGCATAACAGGAAAGGAACGAACGGAACCGCCAGGAACCGAACACGGACAGGAACCGCGTAAACCGCGAACCGCCGAAACCGCGACAAAGACGAACCGCCATGAACCCAACCTCAACCCAACCCGTTTCCAGCCAAGCCAGAGCCGCCCACCCCCCTTCCTGCCAAAACCCCTCGGGCGGGGGGTTGGTTGGAGCGGGTTTTGGGGGGGCGGGTTTTGGCTGGAGTTGCCTGGAGTGGGTTGGTAGGCTGACCCGAACCGCAAACCGAACAGCAGCGAACCGCACGAACCGAAACTGTTCCAAGGCATGCACCGGAAGCCTACACGAACCTACACGAACCGCAGCCTTACTGCCATAAAAGAATACTATTTGGAATTATCCCGACCCCTACATTAGGTTCCTTCTATCCCCCCTCATCTACCCGTTGACGAGATAGTCCTATTTTCCCCAACCCCGCGTACTTGTGAACCACGAAGTCAAGCGGCTGAAGTGAAGAAATGTGTTTCTGACGTGGATTTCCTGGGCGCGTGGGGTTTTCCAGTTCGCTCAAGGCTTGTTTCCTCGGAGGCACCCATGCTAGTGGGCCCTAAACCCTCTCTCCTAAATCCTAAACCCTGAACCCCCCTACGTGTCTGGGCCGTGCCCTGCAACTCCTAGTCAAATCGGGGGGGGGGGGGGGGGAAGTAATCAGGGGGGGGCATTGATGGGCAACGGGGAGTTCCAATCCTAGAAGCCCGGCAGAACCAACAAAAAGCAATGTAACCTCTTGCCTCATGTGGGGTAGTAGGCACTAAACACCAGAAAAAAAAAAAAAAACCTAATTTAGGAGACCTCCCATTTCGCTTCTGATGCCTGCCGGTCTTGGGTCTCCATCTCTGCTCCAGGGTTTAAGGGTCTCAGAAATGTCTTCGAAGCTTTGGGGTTCTTCATCCGCGCTTTTTACGAACTCAGGAAAAGAACCGGGGTCAAGGGCCTTTGGGTTTTGGGCGGGGGGTTGGGGGTTCCAGCACCCCCCCCTTACACCCTGCAACTCCCAAACCCTGTGACCCGCTAGCTCTTACATCGGAAAAAAGGAGCTCCGAAATCGGGAGCAGGGAATTCGTGTTCCCCACACAAGCCCCTGAACAGTTCTTTTCTAGGGTGGGTAAGAAGAACCTCATTCATTCCCATTTCCCCAAGAGCGGGCAAGATGAAGCCCTTAGGTAGAAGTGGAGTTATCCGGCCTAACTTGGGATATACGTACGACGGCCAACAACTTAGGTGATCAGTCCATATAGTTGGTATGTAAGAGGTACAGGTGGGGGTGGGGGGGGGCACACTTCTCTCAAAACCCCTCCGAGTCACCAGTTCCGTCTTATCTTCGCCTTCGCCTGCGCTGCAAAGCCTAAACCCCCAAACCTTAAACCCTAAACCCCTAAACCCCTAAACCCCCAAACCCCTAAACCCCTAAACCCCTAAACCCCTAAACCCCTAAACCTCTCGATCTCTATCTCGGCTTCATGAAAGGAGTGTACAGGGCTACAAGTTCCCAGCTTGCCTACGTTTGCAAGAACCAGACACATCCCCACAGCACCCACAACACCAACTAAAACCCGAAACCCTAAACCCCTAAACCCCTAAACCCCTAAACCCCTAAACCCCAAACCCTAAACCCTAAACCCTAAACCTGTTGAGAAGCCTTAACCCCCA